TAATGTTGCCAGAGAGCGTGGAAAGGCAACAATGCACTCGCTTCTTTGTACCAGACCACATACACAAAGTTTGCAATAGTTTCAGGTCGCTAGTCATGTGAAAATTTCCATCGCACGCCAGGAATCAACAACGTTGATGAAATTGTGGAAATTAACGACTGGAGTATGGACAAACAAGCAATCATCGCATCATATACGACTCTCCACCGATGAACGCGAGGGCAGCTAATTACTGTAGGCGCGTGGTTGTCGAACAATGGCTTCCTATGAATACCGCATTCTTTGTGCCTCTAATACCCTCTTTCTGCGACTGTCTCTGATGACGGGTTGGAGGAAGAATCCGAAACGTCAGACCAATAGACTTCTCGTTCCAGCGATTGCATCTTCCTTCTCTGATTTGCATCCTAGTTTGAGTCTATAACGGGACGATGGGCGAATGAAGTATTGAGTGACAATGTTTACTCTGGGCTAGGCGTGTGCGGCCAGCTATCGTCGAAAGAAAAAAACGAACAAGCAATGTTGATAGTTTCATGCATTTCTTCCATTTTTCGATTCAATGACGATGAGAAAACCTTTGTGTCTTCCTCAATAGCATTCTGAGAGGGCCACTTGACAGATGTCAACATCGCTGTCTTGGCCGGCCAGCGCTTAGTCAGCACAGGGAGGTTGATTTCCTTGTCTAGCGAGAGCACCTGAGTCAGAAAGCAATTACCTAGCACCACTTCAACTGGTTAACAGGGCGCGGAGACTGCTGAAGGCCGGTTAGACAGCCAATCGGGTCAGAGCTTCAGTGTCCCTGTCATGATGACTAAGAGGGAGCGAGAGCAATTGTGAGGAGGCGGAGGAGGAGGAGGCTGGGGGCGTAATGATGGCCCCCGAGTAGCAGGCACTACGTCCCCGCACTGCGCTAGCAACCTGAAACGCCTGCCGAATGTGCTTCGACCTCGTGTCTCGATGTCCAGCTGTGTGGCCACGCCGGCCTGTCCATTCCCTGGTCCCACAGGGCACACACATCCCTGCCACACTCCCTTTGACAGAAAAAAATGCAAGCAGTAGAATTTAACTTTTTCATAGGCTTTCCTATATGAGTCGTCACTTACTTTCATAGATGTATCAAGCCTCTGAAGCAAGAACATGACAAAACAGGCAATCCCTGAAAGTCATTGGGAGAACTACAATTTGGTCGACTTCCGACCGTGTGTAGAAGACGACAAATCTCCATTTTCATAAAATTACTGAGTCGCATTGTCCTTGGTCTTAACTGCTGAACTGCAAAATGGCAGAAAACTTGTAAGAGAATTTAATTTCAGTGGGTGGGCTAACTCAGTAGGTAGGCTAACCCAAATTCCGAAATGTGCTTATGCCTCGAAAGGATTAACTAAGTAGGGTTGTAAAACTAATGATCTTGCAGCAAAATCCTATAATAATTCAGTTACCTCAGGGTGCCGTCTTTTGAAAGAACATCTTTCCGGCTGCACGCAAAAAAATAACTAATGACAACTTAAGTGGCATACATTTTTCTCATCGATTTTGGATGCTTTTAAAAATTCAATTACATTTCATGGAAAACATGCATGAAAATATTCATTCGCTTGCTCATGCGGTGTAAAATGACGTCTTCTTGCAATTCTTCACTCGAAGGAAGGGTTCAATTCGGTTTTCAATAACTGCTACAATTCCCGAATAAGTTTTAAACCCGACCTGCCCTTACACTTGCATTCAGAGTTTCCGAAAAACAAGCCGTATATTTTCTACGCACGGAAAACCATACATTTCTCTACGGTATAAAGAGGAGACCATATGGAATTCATAAAATTTAGCAATGGTTTTGAGCCATGTTGATAAATTTAAAAGCCACATTGGTAAATTCAGAGACACGACGTTTTATGTATGGCCACTTCACGGTAATAAAAAATCCTATAATTATAAACTTTTTTTAAACCTAATCATACCCTATCTTCGAGTATACAATAGGAAGATGGTGTAATTTTCTACCGAACGAGCAAGAGAATGAATATTTGTATGCATGTTTTCCATGAAATATAGTTGAATTTTTTAGGGCATCGAAAATCAATGAAAAAATGCATGCTGCTTATGTAGTCATTTTTAAAGAGTGTGGTTTCTCCATGCGGACGAATGAAGTTTGTTCGAAAGCCGGCATCCTGAGGCAACTGAATTATTGTAGAATTATGCTGCAAGATGATCAGTTTCATAACCCTACTTAATTAATCTTTACGAAGCGAAAACGCATTTCTGAATTTCGGTTGACATTCCATGAGGTAGCCCACCTACTGTAAATGCGCAATTATGATGAACTCGGCGATCTCGATGGGTTTCGAACTCATGAGTGCAGGGGTGTAGTAAGACGGTGCCCTTTGTTTTCATATTTTAAAAACACCTGCTAACATGGACACAACTTCAAGCGAGAGTCCTACTCAAGCCACCACCTCATGGTTCATATGTTCGTTCCCATATGATCAGCATCAATAAACCGCCGTTGAAGAATAGACGCGAGGGCGTGGCTTGAGTACGATCAATTCTACACCCGCCTGATCTATGAGGCCCCGCAGGAGTTTGATTGGTTTTGAAACCGCGTTTCGAAAGTCGGCCAAATTTGTCAGAAACTGTGGATGTTAAAACGTTGCAGTTAGCTGAGGGGGTAAGTTGGCCAAGTTTAAAAATCTAGAGGCTCATGATCGGGACCTCGCAGGTCAAACCGTGCCATTGTTGCAATGGGTCCGGATTGCGTTGAGGTCGCAGGGTTATTCAAAATTTTTTGTGCAGTTAAACAATTTGAAATCCGCCCAAATAAACAGCAGCGCACAGATTATGACTCTGCACCCTGCTGCACGGTCCGCTTTGTTAAGGTCCTACCGACATCACTTCAAAACTCATCTAGGAATAAACGTTTACGCGCGGATGCGACTGAACTGCATGGGCACATGGACATTTTACCTTTAAATCAGATGAACATATGCGCATCCAGCTTCACAAGTCAGAGAATAAAAACACCGCATTTCTCATTCTCCAAGCGGTTGCTATCCAGTGCGCAGGCTCATTGACACAGGTGCGTTCGAACAGTCTGGAATCTGGGTCACCGGTCAGCAGCTTAAAATCGGGGCGTTGGATCGGGCTCGTGTAATCAAGTAGGTCATGTCGTTAGGCCGAATTTACTAATGATAATCTTATGTCATTCTTTTTCTCCTGTCTCATTCCCTATTCGTTTCAATTTTCTTACTGTTAATGCGAACCGTAAGAAAAGCCTGCACTATTACCTGTGGCCATAAAGTCTTCCTTAAAACAAGACCTGTGAGTCGTATTCTGAAATCTAACTTTACCCTGTCTCGTTTTTCGTGTGCCACGACAAGTGACACCATTTGTATAGAAGACTACATATCTCCATGTTCATAAAATTACTGAGTGACGTTGCCTTTTGTCTCAATTGCTGTGTTACTTAGTGGCGGAAAACCTGTAAGTGAATCTAACTGAATACACAACTGTGATAAACTCGGCGGCCTCAGGGAGTTTCGAACCCACGAGTGCAGGGGTGTAGTGACACAAAACCTCTTGGTTTAGTTTGTTAAAAAGTCCTGCTAACAATGACACAACTTCAAGCAAGAGTTCTGTTCACGCCGCCACCTCGTGGTTCATTTGTTCGTTATCATTTGATTGGCGCCAATAGCCCGGGGGATATAAATTATGTTCGGTGAAGAATAGACGCATGTATGTTCCACGAGGACGTACCTTGAGTACGGTCAATGCTCAACCCACCTGATATACCAGGCACCGTACATTGCTGATTTGTTTTGAAAGCGCACTTAAAAAGTCAGACAACTTTGTCAAAAATTGTGAATGTTATACGTTGCAGTAAGTTGAGCTGGTAATTTGATCAAGTTCGCATATACAGCTTCGCCTTAAAGGTCCTACCAACGCCACACCAAGCCCACTCTAGGAATAAACGTTTACGCGCAGATGCGACTGAACGGAATGAGCACACAGACAGTTTACCTCCAAATCAGATGAACGTGTGAGCATATAGCTTCACAAGTCAGAGGATAAAACACCTCACTTCCCTCTGTCCAAGTGGTTGCTAGCCAGCGTGCACGCTCCTTGACGCAGGGGCGTCCAAACTGTTGGGAATCTGGGCAACCGTGGAGGTGCTTAGACTCGGAGCGTTTGGTCGAACTCGTGTAATAAAGTGGGTCATATCGTCGGGACGAATTTAATATGATAATTTTATGCTCTCCGTTTCCTCCTCTTTCTTCCCTATTACTATTTTTACCCTGTTCATTTTCTGATGGTTTATGAAAACCACAAGAAAACGATTCAATATTGGCCGTGGCCATAACTTCTCTCTTGACGTAAGACCTACTAGTCATATTCTGACATCGGATTTTTCCCTGTGTCGTTTTTCGTATGCAACGACAAATGCCACCCGGTGAGACTTCGCGAGGATTGCTGAGCTCATTGGGTGTTGTCTGTATTCGAACCTACTCCCCAGCCATGTGTGGCTTCCTCGTCGGACTTCAAGGTTATAATAAAAGTAAGGATTCGATCACAAATAACTTCGGCGGAATGGGCGACTGCGTTTATTTTCTTCGCACAAACTCGGCCTCACCGAGCAGAAGGACTAGCCTAAGAATAGTCCTTCTGAAGACGCCCAGAAATCTGTGGAGTTGAGGAAGGCGGTTGCGTGCCTGATTCACGTAACGCGCCCAGGAATCGCTACTGAAATGTTGAACAGTAGTCGTATTATCTTAAAATCTGGTCGTCCCGCTGGAACCCAACCTCTGATGATTAAATCGAAGAGGCAGCGGAGGTATCATTGCATTTAGTGTGGGCGTCACCCACTACCAAGACCATGTGCCCTTGGAATGGCCCAAAATAATCGACGTGTAGCCTCTTCAACGGCGAGTCGGGCCAGGCCCAAGGCGTCAGAAGCACCTTCGGTAGGGTCTTCTGTGTTATTCGGCACACGTGACATGCTTTCACCACGTTTTCTATATCTGCGTCAATTTTGGGCCACCAAACATAGCTGCGGGCGAGAGCTTGCCAATGTGGACACGACTGAACCGTGCATCTGGAGTGGGGAAGGTGCCGATGGGAGCTTTGTCGTGCCGTTTGACCTTATTCCATTGACAGCCGAGACACGCCCGTGTCCAGGCTTTCAGGTCCTTGGGCATCCCGGGGCGGACGAAGCGGTCGGAATCCAGCTTGTCGGTATCTCGACTCCCAGGGTGAGAAAGGTTGTACAGGTGGGAGAAGGCTTTGTGGCGGAGGGATGACGACACAAAGGAACGGTGAGAAGTGGTGGAGACGTCGCATAAAATAGTCCTTTTGCCAGTAGTCAGTGGCAGGTCCTGGAGTTGGAGTCCGGAAACATCCTCGTCGCAGGGAGAACCAACACGGCGTTGTTCGGCAGCCATCTGAGCTAGGTCGATCCCAGGAGAAAGTTTGAGATGTGTGATGAAGGGTCTGGACAGTGCGTCAGCCACCTCATTGTGTGACCCGTCTATGTGGCGGATGTCTGAGGCAAATTGCGACATGTAGTCCACTTGGCGAATTTTCCGGGGAATGAGGTTGTCAGAAGTTGGCTTGAGAGCGAAGGAAAGGGGCTTGTGATCTGTGAGCACGGTGAAGTCCCTGCACTCAATGAAGTGCCGGAAGAGTTTCATGGCGAGGAAGGCAGCAAGGAGCTTCCGTCCAAATGTGCTCTAGCGCGTCTCGGCAGGTGCTAACTTCCTGGAGAAGGAAGCTATGGGTTGAGCGTGGCCTGCAAGGTGCTGTTGGAGAACCGCGCCTACTTCAATATTGGAGGCGTCAACCATGAGAGAGATGGGAGCATCGGCAGAAACATGCATCAGGGGGGTAGCATTGGTCAGGGCAGCCTTCACCTTGTCAAAAGCAGCGAGAGCCTCTGCAGACATCTCGAACGAACGTTTGGGAACAGAGAGGAAGCTCGTGGGCGGCAGGATGGTGTAGGCACAGTGCGGAAGGTACAGGCGATAAAAATTCACCATATCCAGCAATCGCTGCAGTTGACGTCTGGAAGAGGGAGGAGGGAAATCACGGATGGCCGCAACATTCGAGGGAAGAGGATGGATGCCTTTGGAGTCAACCAGATAACCGAGAAATTCTAGAGAGGAAACACTAAAGACGCACTTGGACAGGTTGAGAACAACGCTAAATCGTTGTAGGCGGCCAAACACCGTTGCCAGATGCTCCATGTGTTCTTTGGCGGTGAAGTGGGTTACCAGAAGGTCGTTGATATAGGCGTAGACAAATGGTAGGCCGCGAAGCACTGTCTCCGGACCTTTAAAAGGTCTGGGAGGCGTTGCGGAGTCCAAACGGCATGCGCAGGAACTCAAAGGGGCCAAAGGATGTGGTGACGGCCGTCTTCTAAATGTCCTTCAGGGCGGTGGGAATTTGGTGGAAAGCACGGACCCGACCGATCTTAGAGAATGCGGACTTGCCGAATAGGACACCGTCAAAATCTTGAAGATTCGGAACGGGATGGCGGTCTGGGACAGTAACGTTTTTCCGGGAACTGTAATCACCGCAGGGACGTTAGTCACCAGTGGCGGCGGCCTTTAGGACCATGTGGAGGGGCGAGGTCCATTGACTTTCAGACTGACGAATGATGTCCATCTGAAGCATGTGCTCGAACTCGACGGGACATGCAGTGACGAGAAGCGGGGCCGAGAAAACACGGGAGGACCAACGGTCCGGATGTGGTGAACAACGTCGTGTGGTGGAATGGAAGTGCTGAAGTTGGGACGAGTAAGGTCAGAGTATTTGGTGAGGAATTGTCGAAATGGGTTCTCGGGTTCGGGGTCTAAGACGGCGAGTTGATGGGAAGCGTCGGAGGAAGAAATACCCAGAATGGTGAGGTTTGTGGTCTTGTCGTGTAAACGGGACTGACGGCAGTCGACCAAAAGATCGAACGCGGCGAGGAAGTCTGCGCCAAGAATGGCACAGGCGATGCCAGCGACGACGAAGACCCAGGGGAAGAGACGCCGGAGACCGATGTCCACAGAGCGGGAGCAGGTGCCGAAAGTGGCAATGGCCGACGTGTTGACGACCTGTTGGAAAAGGCCGGGATTGGGGCACCGACAAGCAGCTGGTGCGGGTGGAATGACACGTAGCTGGACACCAGTGTCAACCAAAAAAACGGCTGTCACTCTGGCTGTCGCGGACGTAAACTGTGCTACCAGGGATAGAGCTGTCGGTAAGATTGGCTGCACTGGCCTCTGGGGCTGACCCGTCTTACCCGCTTGCTCTGCTTGGAGGCGAAGGAGCTGGGATAAATGCAGCGACGGACTTTAATACCAAAAGTGGTGTGATACCAGCAGGCAACGCCTGTGTTTGAACGGACTGAATGTGCAGACTGGGCATGCAGGGTGGACGGCTTCGGTAAACGGCATGTAATGATAGTTGTGAGCGCACTTCCGTTCCCCCGGTTCCTTTTCCACGCACCAGTCCGCTGTCTGAGTCGATCAGCCACCTGATGTTGCGATGGGGCGCAGGTAGTTCGAGCGGCGTGGGCCTGCGTCTAGATGTTCCACCACGTCCCCGCATATATGGTATTGCATGGGAGGCACGAGATCCGCGACGCCTAGGTAACACGTGCCATGCCCCACTCTGGCATCAGAATTACATAAAACAGGATCTACCTTCTGTGCCAAGGGGGCTGAACGGTACCTGAGGGGGACAAGCGTGGAAGGGGAGAACTACCTACTCACCTGCTGCTCCTAGTCTTCTAGTAGCCCTACTCCGAGCGCCTGTCGCAACGCCGGGCCTCTCTTGAGTGTCTGAACGTGCACACCAGGGTTGTCTGGTGTTAGCCTGTAGTGGGAAGCCATCATGACTGGTCTGGTGTCATTGTTCGAGACCTCGCTGCCTCAAGGTCAATTACCCCTTGCAGCGAGCCGTCCCATACGAGCTGACCGTAAGTCACACGACCAACAGCTCGGGCATACCTGCGTCCGCGCAGTCGCAGCTGCCCATGCGGCCACTTGAACGCAACTACCCCCTGCAACCACAACCTAAGCCACTGGGACATCCACCCCTCGGCAAATGCAACACACACTGACTGGACATCACTTGAGCTTGGCCCACGAGCCTACAAAAGCGGCTGCCAACACTGTCTCAGGGACTCTCAGGCATGACTGGACGCAGTCAACATCAGCCCTGGCTTCGCCAATGGCCACTGCCGCCTGAGAGGACAACGCCGGGTTCTGTGCACAATAAACCCCTCGTTCTGGTGCTTTCTGTCTTCTCCTTCCAATCTGGGATTTGACTTGATAATTGTAGCGCTCAGAACACTTATTCTCTCTGCGGTGCCGCCACAAGCCCATTCGGCTTTCCAACTGGCCAATCAGATTCAAGGCCAAGTTAGACGTGACCTGGCTTAAGACGGTTTGACGCATTCCCTGACGGACACTTGGGACGTCGTCCTCCCGGCATCGGACGTGCTCTCGTCCGGCTGCTAACTCTCCCCAACCCCTTTTCCAATTATTCTGTACAGCATAAACAATCCTTCCAAGTGGCTTCCATCTTCTCTTTCCATTCGGGATCGACCCTGAAGGTCTTGGCAGCCAGGGTCTGACTCTCTGCCTAGGCTTCTGCAACAGTTATGTCCTCAGGTAGATTAACTTAGTCCTGCCTTTAGAGAAGTGTTTTAAGAGAGAGAAGAGCAACTAGATCCGAGAACATGGGAGATCCCACTATCGAAGTTATCGTGTTTCGAGAGGCAACGATTTTGGAAGAAATAAAAAGCTTGAAGGAATGTAAATCTCCTCGTCCGGACGAGATCCCAACAAAGCTGCTTTTCGAGCTTGCCCGACAGCTGGCCAAGCCACTATCCTTTCTGTTCCAGGAATCGTTTGACGCTGGAATCCTCCCCACAGACTGGAAGACGGCCCACATTACACCCCTTTACAAAAGCGGTAGTCGTGCCCTGGCGACAAACTACAGACCCGTCAGTCTGACATCAATCTGCTGCAAAGTGATGGAGAAAACCACAAAAAGGAGTTGATGGCTTATCTGGAAGGCCACGACCTCTTGTCCGATGCACAACATGGTTTCCCTAGGGGAAGATCATGTGTAACGAACTTACTATATACAATGCAAAGTTGGACAAGAGCACTGGATGCAAAACACACTGTGCACGTGGCCTATACTGATTTCCGGAAGGCGTTCGACAGTGTTCCGCACCAGCGTCTCCTGCACAAGTTGAGAATAATGGGCATCGGCGGCAAACTTCTAAAACGGATCGAGAACTTACTCGTCGGCCGCTCCCAAATTGTCTGCGTAGAAAGACAGCAATCAAGGCGCACATTCATAGAGAGTGGAGTCCCACAAGGCTTGGACCAACCCTCTTTCTCTTGTTCATCAATGATTGTGTAGATGGGTTGGATTGTGATTGTGTCATGTTTGCAGATGACATAAAAATCTGGAAAGTCATCCAGAATACTGCCGATGAAATGAACTTCCAAGAAAATCTTTGTCGATTGGACGAGTGGTCCCGCAGATGGTTCTTATCCTTCAATTTGAACAAATGTACCATACTGCGCCTCGAAAATCAGACCCCTAATACGCGGCAATACCATCTGAACGGAATACCACTTCGAGATGCAGAAACGCAGAAAGATCTCGGGGTCTGAGCTGCAGACAGCCTAAAGCCTTCTACACAAGGCTGTAAGGCGGCCAAGGCCGCAACTTCAATGCTATATGCCATCAAGCGGACATTCGCAGTTTTCGATGAAGACTGCGTCCCCAAAGTCTTCGGCACGTTTGTAAGGCCGCATCCCGACCTGGAGACCATGGACCCATCAGGATTACAATCTGCTTGAAAGAGTGCAGAGGTGAGCAACAAAATTAATAAGAGGTCAGGGTGCACTGCCATACGAGATCCGCTTAACTAGCCTTGATCTATATCCTCTGAGTTATAGGCAGTTGAGCGGAGGCTTGATACAAACTTTCCGTATCGTGCGTGGCTTGGACTGCGCCCTTCGGTGCGATGACTTTTTCCAACTCGCCACAACAACTAACCTCCGGGGACATCCCTTCAGGCTACGTGTGCCCCAGGGTAGATTGAATGTGAGGAAGTATTTCTTCTCCAACCGTGTCGTGGAACCGTGGAATAACCTGCCCGAGACGGTTGTCATGTCTCCATCTGTGGCGACATTTAAATACTGGCTTGACGGACATATGCTGCAGCAACAAGCGGACTATGTGACTTTTTAGCCATGAGACCAGTGACATATGTGAATCAATGTCTGCATTCACTTAATGCTCTAATTTCTTCACATTTTGCTTATTTACCGATTTTTATGTACATATAGGGGGTTCAACGGCGTAAGCCTATTTCCCTCAAGTACACTGACTGACTGACTGAGGATTGACTTTGATCCACAGCTACGTTCTATAACGGCAGCTTCCATGTCCTGCTTTGGGGGATTGTCGAATTGGACTTTAGCAGATTTGAACTGCAGTTACTCCTGTTTAATTTGCCGCTTATCGTCAGCTGCTCTAATATGACTTCATCGGGGAGGACGGGGGAGCGGGTATGACGAACGGGACAGCGAACGAGCTACAGTAGGTGGGCTAACTCATGAAATGTCAACCGAAATTCCGAAATGCGTTTTCGTTTCGAAAAGATTAATTAAGTAGGGTTGTAAAACTAATCATCATGCCGCGTAATTCCATAATAATTCAATTACCTCAGGGTGCCGACTTTCGAATGGACTTCCTTCCGGCTGCATGCAAAAACTACACTCTGTAAAAAATGACTACATATTTAGCATGAATTTTTCTCATTGATTTTCGATGCCCCTAAAATTCAAATAATATTTCATGGAAAACATGCATAGAAGTATTAATTCTTTTGCTCATTCGGTAGATAATTATGTCTTCTTCTAATTTTATACTTGAAGGAGGGACATAACTCGGTTTTCAAAAACGTTTCCAATTCCTGGATAATTTTGAACCCGACTTGCCGTTACACTTAGATCCCGGGTTTCCAAACTGCAAGCCGTACATTTTCCGCATACGTAAAACTACACATCTCTCTACGGTGATAAAGGGAACCGTATAGGGTTCACGACATTTATCAGTGCATTTGATGCATACTGTTAACTTTACAAGCCACATTGGTAAATTCAGAGACATGACAATTTGTGAACGGCCATTTCACGGTATTTAAAAGTCCCACAATTAGAAACCCTTCCAAAACCGAATTATGTCCCGCCAAATGGACAAACCTCTGCGAACGCTGTTATCATAGCCGAACTGGTGGACAGTGTCAGACACACCCAATCCCCTTTATTTAAACCTTTTAAAGGTTTAAGCTCTCCTAGGAGCTGCCGCCTTATCTCGTCTACTATGCTTTCTGCTATGCTCCATGAAGTTATGTTTGTTATTCTTATATCGTCCACGAAACATCTCATTTATGTCTTCATTGTAGAAGTATCCAGTTAGGGACACCTGCGCTTGAATGGTATTTCGAAGCATGCAAATGGTGATTACTCATCACGATCGTTAACTGGTGCCCAACTCCCGTCGGTGACTAATCGAAGTTAATCTCTGACCAGCGGTCACACCCCAGCAAACGGCTCGACCGGCGCGCTAAACCAGATGAATGTATCAGGTGCAGTGCTTTCTCCGCCCTCGATAGTTTCTTTCCCATTCCCACTCCTCATACATCCACTCTTTTCTACCATCCCCTCCATACCCCACTCCTTCCCCTTCCATCCCCTCTCCTCCCTCCCTCCCTCCCTCCTCCCTCTCGTTCCCTCCTTATCCCGTCCACAAAAAATTCCGCCGAGAGGGTGACATGCGATTCCGTAGGTGGCCCAGACTAACTTTGGTCGCTCTCCCAACCAATCAAGTCGTGACTCAAAGTGAAGTTCGACAGTCGTTTAGGATGTCTAAGCAGCCCTATTTAGGAACAGTACCGCTTACCTCCTCACGGGGAAGGGGCTAGAAGAGGTGCCCAATAAGTGCTGGAACCATGTGTAGTGGGCAGCCATCATAACTGGTCTGGTGACATTGTTCAAGACCTCGTTGCCTCAAAGTCATTCATTCATGGCTGCGAGCAGTTGCAGACGTGCTGACCTGAAGCCACTCGACCGCCTTGAGCTCTAACGCAATTGCATCCTCACAGTGTCGCGGCTACCCATGCGCTACTTGAACGCGCCACCCCCTGCAACCAGCAAAACAAGCCACTGGGACACTACCCCTCGGCAAATGCAACACACACTGACTGGACACCACGTGAGCTTGGCCCACGAGTCTACAAAAGCGGTTGCCACCACTATCTCAGGGACTCTCAGGCATGATCGGACGCAGTCAACACCAGCGCAGTGGCTTCGCCAGTGGCCACTGACGCCTGAGAGTACAATTCCGGGTTCTGTGCACAACAAACCCCTCATGCTGGTGTTTTTTGTCCTCTCCTTACAACATGGGATTCGACCTGGTGGTTTTAGCTCTCAGAGCACTTACTCTGGCCGCTTGGTCACGACAAATTTGTGACTCCGACGTGATCGACACGCAGTCTCCAGACAGAATTGCGACTGGGATTTGACTTGGTAATTGTAGCTCACATTCTGCACATACTCACACTGCTTAGTCGTGACAAATGTCATCTATACGCAGACCATGACTCGCATATGGACGACCCGCGGTCGAAGCAATCAAACAAACAGCAATCCACGCCCTCACCCCCTCCGCGTCCCACAGACTGCCAAAATGAGTCCGATCACTCTGACACAGAAGTTCTGGAACGATGTGAAGTCCTCGACATTCACGCCATGCTGAGGTAAGTGTGACTACGCGGAGGCAGCCACCTCGTGAGGATAGACGACGAACGCCCAACCAAAACAACTCTTCGATGAAATTGTCACTACAGGTGCTAGTCGACAAGGAGATCGAACCCTTCGCTACAAGGAGGCCTTGAACAATTCTTTGAAGCGACCACAGATCAACCCAAAGACTTGGCAAGACTTCGCACAGCGTCGACCGGCCTGGAAAAGAGCAGCGAAGAACAGAACAGCCACCTATGTAGCTAACCCGATCGCCGCTGTCAAAGCTAATGAATGATTATTGGTTCTGAGGTAGACCGCTACGGATTGGGTGGAGTAAGGTTGGCCGACGATGATCATCGCAGTCTTCTTGTTGCTTAAGCTGGTCTGTGAGTCCTCATCCACTATAATTAGTATTCTCGATCACAACCAACAAGACAACGGCCCGTGCCCCAGTGGTAGAATGTGACCCTCAGTGATCAAAGATGCCAGGTTCGAATCTCAGGCGATTCACAGCTGATGTTAGGGAAACCGGCTAATGACGGCTAATAAACCCGAAATAGTCACTCCGGTCTCCCTTAGGTTTTTAGGGAACGCCTTGTCTACTTATACTAATAGTCGTCATACAAGTGCCTGCGAGGATTCTAATTTGACCCCAAGGCACAATGGGACAAGGGGGTTCCGTAATCTGATCGGCGCAAACCCCGCTAACATGCTGAAGTTTCTTCAGCGACGATGCTCCTAGAACCCCTCTTAGGTTGGTCTGACAGTGGTTGCATTTTCAGTCTTCTGAAGGACTAACCTCTTCTAGGATATAAAGGAATGATTGAAATTCTGACAGACAGCCTTAGGACGACGGAAAGTATTGCGATTATCGAATCCAGGGTTGTCTACCGCCGAATGGTGATACTATCTACCACCTTAATCGTCAAGGTAATTGTTAATGACTCGGGAAGTGGAAATATCCCAGAGAAACTGACTGAGGAATCCAAATGGTCTGGAGAAGTCAGAAGAAATCCCATTTAGAAGGTAAGTTGTGCCAAGAAAGACTCTGATCCGCGTACCCTGAAACGGCAAAAGGTCTCCGTCAGATCGTTTTCATACCGTGTTTCTTTTCAGAACAAAGAAAACGCTTCCTAAGGCATATTTTTGCTACGGACGAAGGGTTTCTAAACTGTCGGAGAAATTTAAAGTATCCAGTCACGAAAATCAATAAAATACAACGTGACCCGGAGGCATGGTTAGGGGCAGTCAACCATGGTGCGTAGTCATCGCCATCCTAGTGGCCCTCCCCCCGACTACGCCGGTTAGTTTCCATGTTACTGAAAAGGAAAAGTCCTGGGGATGCCAGGGCGATCGAGAGATCGCCTGCTGCCCGGGGGACTGCAGACAGGTGGAGTTCGAACGACCCGAATTCTACTCCTGTTCGTGCGCCGACACTCATTACGCCATGCGCACCTTTGATCCCACCTCCGCCCACCTGATTACCACCAAGTGCATCAGCCGGCGAGAAAACTACTGTGTCATCTGTCATCCCAGCCACACCTACGCCTGCACTGAGATTCCAGACAAAAAGTCCGCCGTCTGTCATTGTCTGCCCGAGTACAGCACGGAGACTAGGTGTTTCCAGCTGAAGAATGCCTGCACAGACACGACGCTGGGTTCCACAAAGAACGGCAATGAGACCTGTCGTGTGGAGGAGGGAAACCTCTGCTTTCCAGAGCCCGGAACCCACCGATACACTTGCGTCTGCGCGCACCCTCATCGTGCTCTGTCAGAGAAGTCCTTCCCCAACTGCATGGCCAGTCCCGAACACGCCTGCGAGCGATACCTCTGCGTGGGCTTCCAACCGAGACCGCACATCCCCACCTTGATTACGCCAAGGTTAGTCACCATAGCCACCGGCAGGAGAGACAGTCTGCACCCTAACGTGGGGCAGTGTGTGGCGCACCCGGGAGTCCACTGCCAGTGTCCCACAAATTGGTACGGACCACACTGTACGATCCATCGGGGTCACCCGGAGGAAGCCACCTGGTCGCCCTGGTCCAACTGCCGGCCGGACTGCATCGACCCCCGAGACGGCTACAGGGCACATGGTGTCGGTTTCCTCTACACCCTGGCTTCCTGCTCAACTCAGGAGAAGAGTGTCTGCACCGGCAAGTTTAAAATCTGGCGTCGATGCAAGGTGACGCTGTTGTGCACCCTCAGCCAGCCCAGTGAGCAGTTCTCCCCGGAAGTCACCAGAGCACTGTCGAAGGCTATGAAACTGGACGCACCGGTTCGTTTTCCTCTTTCTGGCAGATCGCAGTCCCTTTGAAAACCGCGGTGTTCTTGCCGACATTCAGAAATGATCATTGGTTTCCGGAGGTCGCGTCGTGCGGATCAAGTCTTTAAATCGACAGGGGGATTAGTCAGACAGAGGCCTTAGGAGTTCTGACCTGGGTCGAGTGAAGAGTAGGAGCAAGCCAGAATCAGTCACATCTACCATTTTGGCTGATTTCAGCACGCTAGTCAAAAAGACATTTTGAGCGCTGGGAGTAGAGACTGTATCGCCATTAGTAGAGAGTTAAGCGTGACAGCAAAGTGAGATTCCCTGGCGTTTGAAGGATAGAGCATGTAGCAGTTTTTGGGCGAGGTTTGGTTCTGCAGCCCTATTTGGTTACTATAACGCTACTAGGTAACATACAGTGCGTGACCTATCTCATGAAATGTTGGCTGAAATTCTGAAATGCGTTTTCGATTAGGAAGGATTACGTGGTCGCGGTTGTGATACTGATTATCTTAAGGCATACTCTTATAACATTTTAGACTCGGCAGGATGTCGGCTTTTAAATGCACTTCTTTTTAATCTCCTGTAGAAAGCGTGCTCGGTAAAAAAATTACTACTTAAGTAGCATGCATTTTTCCCATTGATTTTCTATTGTTTTCGAAATTCAAATATATTTTATAGAAAACACAAACAAAAATATGCTTTCGTTTAGTCAGTCAATAGAGAATCACGTCTTCTTTATATTTTATACTTAAGGAAGGAGTATAATTAGGTTTTAAAAAAGTTTTCTAATTGCCGAAAAATTTGGAGCCTGATCATTCGTTGCATTAGCGCTTAGTGATTACACTCTACAAGGTGCATGCGTTCCGCGTAAAGAAAATCCCATATTTTTCTATGTCATTTTAGAGATCTTATACAGGGTCTATAAAATTTTGCAATGGATGCGGACCATGTTGTACATTTCATGAGGAGCAGTGGTAAACTTCCAGGTACGATGCTATGTGAATGGACACATCGCGATCTTAAAAAGTCTCATAATTAGAAACTTTTTTAAAACCTAATTAAACTCCTTCCTTAAGTATAAAATATTAAGAAGACGTGATTCTCTATTGATTGACTAAAAGAAAGCACATTTTTGTTTGTGGTTTCTATAAGATATATTCGAATTTTCAAAACCATCGAAAATCAATGGGAAAAATGCATGCTACTTATGTAGTCATTTTTTACCGAGCACGCTTTCTAAAGGAGATTAAAAAGAAGTGCATTTAAAAGCCGACATCCTGCCCAGTCCGAAATGTTATAAGAGTATGCCTTAAGATAATCAGTATCACAACCGCGACCAAGTAATCCTTCCTAATCGAAAACGCATTTCAGAATTTCAGTCAACATTTCATGAGATAGGTCACGCACTGTACCTAACTTAGCCACTTGTTGGATTAGGAAGATAAAGAGAGCTCAGGCAGAGATAGAAGCACGCGCAGGGAAGCGAGTGAAAGTGACGTGTACACAGTTGCGCCACCCCCCCCAAACAAGCCACGTGGTAGATGCGCTGGAACAACAAGGGGGTCATATCGGATTCTGGCAGGCGTTATCGGTTTGTGCACCAAAACAAATGCCAACATCTTGGGGTGCTGTGCGGATCCGGTTGCGCACAAAGGGACCCTACCACCCACCATTGCTGTTGCTAATCAAAAACCTGGTTATTTGCTGTGTGGACCAGGGGATGTGGAGTGGAACGCCAAGGTGCGTGCTCGACCGTGCCATCTACTTGCGCCATCCTCCGTCTGCGGTCTTCTTGACTCTGTCTTGACACCGGATCCAGGTGGGGGATGAGGAGAGAGTGCGATAGATGCTGTGCAAACATACTATCACTATGAAGTAAATCACGCGCAAGTCACCATCCCTGCTCCCACCCTGCTTTGGAGTTTACGGTGGACATCGCTGGTAGAACTGTCGTACACACTCTCCCCGGACACAGCCACTTGCTGGATTAAGGGGATATGGAGGACTCAGTCAAAACTGGAAGGCCACGGAGGGAACCACGTGGTGATTCGCAGTGCACAGCCGCTGTAGTAGAACCGACGGCGTTTCCCTCCATCTGAATAATTTCATTAGCATGTGTACCTGGCTACTTTCTGGATTAGACTAATAAAGACGGCGCAAGTAGGACTCGAAACAAGCGCAGGGAAGCGCATGCAAACTGGTAATTGAGAAGTCCGAGGCTGGATTTTAAGCCCTCTTTCCCCCGTGGCACAGGTACTCGTTGGGTAAAAATGGTAAATAAGATGCAAATACATGATATTTGTAAGGTCAGAGTATTCGCATCTACTAATTTTCTTTACAAAGCTAGCCACATGTCATCACTCAAGTGGGGCTGCAGGACCAAACCTTGCCGTTTTTGGTTTTTATATTTACAGTGAGGGGGCTACCTCATGAAATGTCAACCGAAATTCCAAAATGCATCTTCGTTTCGACAAGATTAATTAAGTAAGGTTGTTAAAATAATCATCGTGCAGCATAATTCTATAATAATTCAGTCACCTCAGAATGCCGGCTTTCAAACGAACTTCTTTCCACCCACATGAAAAAACCATATCCCGTGAAAAATGACTACTTATGTAGCACGTATTTTTCTCATTGATTTTCGATGCCCTTAAGAATGCAACTATATTTCATGGAAAATCTGCATAAAACTAGCCATCCTTTTGCTCATTCAGGAGTAAAGTACCTCTTCTTCCAATCCGAAGATAGAGTATGACTGGGCTTTATCATCTTCGCAATTATGAGATTTTCTAATACCGTGAAATGGCCGTTCATAAAACATCATGTCTCTGCATTTACCAATGTGGCTTGTAAAGTTAACAATATGGCTCAAATCCGCTGCTAATTTTTATGAATTCCAAATGGTCTCCTCTTAATACTGCAAAGAAAGGTATAGTTTTCCGCGCGCGGAAAATATAGGCCTTGCATTTTTCAAACTATGAATGAAAGTTAAGCAGCAGGTCGGGGTCCAAAATTATTCGGAAATCGGAAAACGTTTTTAAAACCAAATTATACCACTCCTTTGAGGATAAAATTGTAAGAAGACATATTTTTCTACCGAATGAGCAAAATAATGAATATTTGTATGCATGTTTTCCATGAATAATGATTGCCTTTTTAAGGACATCGAAAATCAATGAGAAAAATGCATGCTATATAAGTAGTCATTTTTTACAGATTATAGTTTCTGCATGCGGCCGGAAAGATGTTCGTTCAAAAGCCGGAATCCTAAGGTAACTGAATTATTATAGAATTATGCTGCAGATGATTATTTTTACAACCCCACCTAAATAATCTTTTCGAAACAAAAACGCATTTCGGAATTTCGGTTGATATTTCATGAGTTGGCCCACCTACTGTAATTTACTGGGCACATTGTACTACACATGGCAATCTGAAATTATCCTGCCTAACCGCACGGTGAAGTGAAAAGAATCGAAATAAAAAGGCAGGTGAAATACCGAACAAAGCAGGAAATTGAGGATATAAGTACTGAAATTTTACCAGAGTAAATTCTCGAAACCACGTCGAGTACAAAGAGGAGACTGTGTCGACATCAAAAGGGGCTAAAACAATAAGTTTTTGTTTCACCGTCATGCGACTGTCGAGCAGTAATCTGTCCTCATTACAAGACGCACAAGAAGATTTTCGCTTTACTTTGGTGATGACGGTCTATAGCCTAAGTAGGCGCGGTCACACGATGACTGAAAATCAATAAGTGAGGTGATTTCATCCACAATGACAAGTAGACTGCAATAGATAAACCAAAGGTAACCACTCTACTGGTTCAGTAGAAACGTTTGGCTTTTATTTTTATTCAAACGTAAGGCAGGCATTCCCTTTAGGTCCTCGAGACAAGCCTCTTCGAAAGTCGCTATGGTCATCTGTACCGAAATAGGGGTCTGAACTTGTTGATAATTCCCGCTCTGGAGGCATGGCTAATCAATTTGAATGCGTGTTATATTCCACGGACAGACTGTGAATACTAGTCGGTTGTTCCATGGAAACTTATCTAATTCGGCCAGATGACTTGTATCTTTCTTCGAGCTCATTATGAAAAGGCCTGTCTCGAAGACTGTTTTCTCCGCAAAATACTAATTTATGAGGAAATCGAAAAGTGTTACATCGAAATCTGGAGTGGACATGGAATACCCATTGAGAAAATGGACCCCCATAACTGCGTCGTGAGCGGGTCAGAAATGGCAAACCGTATTTGAAGGTTTTCGACTATTCTGGCACTCTGGTAAAACATTCCAGGTGTGTATTTAAAAATAGTAAAGTTTTGGCAAAAAAATTGGAGGCAGTTTTAATAGGACAAACTGAAAATGTTTAGAAGTGATGAAAACTACACCAGTTATTCAACGGCGGAGCTTGTTTGAAGGTGTCGTAAGGCCGTTTCTCTGCATGCTATCAGATTTCCAAAACTGTTGTATGCATGTTTTTTCTTGCAAAACTCACCAAAAAGCTGTTTTGAAATCTCCATTTTAAAGGATCAGGAACTACTAAACAGCTTACTTGGCAAACGAAAATTACTCTAAGGAGTCCTTTTATCGTAAAGCCTGGTATCACTCTCTAACGCCTACTTGTTAAGAAGATGCTGCCTTCTCCGTAGAGCACAGTTACTTCTCATAAGAAAACGTTTAATGGTCGCAACCTGGTAATCTTGATGTTGTTCTTTCTTGTGTTTTAGCGGGACGGTCACGAGAACGCCGAAGGGGTTTCACTCAGCGCGACGGAGAAAGCCTTTCTATGCCTGATATTCCTGTGTGCTGTAATTATCGGAGCCTCTCTGTCAATATTTCTCATTGAACTGGGCACAATTTTCGGCAAATATTAAACTGCGCTGTCCACCTTCCCTTCAACTCGGTTGTAGGGAAGAAACAGCCGCTCTTTTGGCAGAGTCTAACGCTTAATAAACTTGCTGAACTGTGACTGAACATACCAGTCATTTTCCTGAGACTGCGAAGCTGGATAAATCAAGATATACATGGAAGTAATCCAGCCTA